CAAGAGGAGTGGCGTCGGTTGACGTGTGGGTGTACAGTGGGATTACAATAGTGTGTTGATTGTAAAGTTTTCGGTTAGCTAGAAAACCGAGTGTGAGGTGTAAACGTTGTTCGGGTGAACGTAGAAAACCCGGTTGATAGTGGATTTCTCCCCGGGAGTGGGGAGCGGAGACGTAGGACGGAAGGTCCGAACTCCGTGATCACTTGATTGTGTTTGAGTGTGCTTTGGCGTTCACTTTTATTTACGTTCATATCTTATATCGCCATTGTGCATTGCTCATTACTATATCATCCACTATCTTGTTTAGATTATCTACCCTTGTGTTGTTTATATATCCTTGCACATACATTGCCTATATCTCATTATTAGGATATATCTTATTGTTCATATTGCTTATCCTAGCACATATATCTTGTTGTAGTTCATACTTGTTAGGATAACTTATTAATTAGTTTTAATTAGCATTTAATCGGATTAGATTAGCATAAGACCCTAATCACCCCCCTCTAGGGTTTAACACACAACGCTGTGCGAGCATGACGTTTTCAGCCTTAAGCGCATGCCCAACTCTGCGTTTCAGGTATAAAACACAAAGTTCGTGGACTCAAAACATAGAGTTCATCTCTGTGTCCTAACTCCGCATTTCGGAGTTCATAATGTTGTACGAACATGGTATTTTCAGCCTTAAACAGGCCCAACTCTATATTTCAGGTCTAAAACGCATAGTTCGGGCACAGAACGCCATTTTTAGCGTTTGAGTCGTTCAAACATGAGCTGAACGGTTCCAGGAACCATTTTCTCCCATGATTGGAGGGATTTTTGCCCCACTTAGGAGCGGATTAAGGGGGAAGTTACCACACTTAATCCCCCTATAAATAACAGAAAAACTCAACTGAGTTCGGAGGGATGAGGGGGATATGGAGATCATCTTTGGATCAGATCTTTTAGAAGGCTTTTGAGATCGGCTATCTGGAGATCAATCGTTGGCTTTTTGGAGATCGACTTCCTGTTCATGGAGATCTTAGGGCGTTCTTCAGCAACATAAAATCTTTCAAGATTCATTACTTGGCTTTAAAACCGATTTTCAGTTCAAATCAACTCTGTTACAGAGTTCAAACTCGTTCTGAGTTCTAAAACCCATTAAGAGTTATCTTAAAACTTTCCACGTAAGTTTCATCAACTTCAATCTAACAAGGTATTCGGATCATCAACAAGAAGCAAACTCGACACGAGTTTCGAGGGAGGCATCTCATTGCTACCGTGAAGAACCCAGGTTAAACAAAGGGAAAGATCTCCATCGATTCTTTCTCTCTTTTGTAAATCGGGATCCCGATTAAGAAGATTGTAATTTCTTTTTCTAAAGTGTGTTAGAGAGAAATTGTATTGAGGACGTTGTAATAATTCTTTATCTAAATCAGTTAGAGAGAATAACACATTTTTGTTCTCAATTGTCTTCTTTGAATTTTCCCACCAAACAATTATGCTATTAAATTCAAATTTCTTCCTATCTAGGAGAAATTTCCTATTCCCAAAATTCTTTTTATGCTTAGAATTGGGAAAGATTTCACCCTCACTCTCGTAGCACAGAGTGGTGGCATTAACCTGCCACCACCACCACCACCAAAAAAACAAAACCGACAAACTGAAATTAAGCAACTTAATTATAATGTTCCAGACATTATATGATTAAACATTAAAGAACCAAGAGGATTAACTCTAAGGTATTGATTACAATTACATGGGCAATCCTATAATTTGATGATAAGTTAATGTCTTTTATTATTATTTTTTGATAGTTTAGAGTTTTTACAGGATATTGGTTAGCATTAAGGTTAGAGTTAGAGTTTTTGTTGGGTTTGGATAAAATATTTAAGATTTTAGTAAAGATCATAGACTAAAGCTCCAATCTTGATAGTCAATAATAATTGTTATAACCCTAACCATAAAATGTTTAATGTAGCCATAATCATAACCAACATCCAAATAGTACTACCAGTCAGACAAAAACCATCGGATTTTAGGATTACCCACCTCGGGATTTTCCCTGTAGATGCATATACTCCGTGATTAATCTTGTAAGTACATCATTGCTCAGGATAACAGAATGTTAATCCCAAAACTTATCTTAACACAAAAAGAAACTCTATTGTTAGTTAGATTATGATGAAAATATTAAATAAAGTTTAACTTTATACAACTATTTTGCACGTGCTCACATGGGTGATCTTACATATAGAATAAGTGATATACGTGTAGCAGAAATTGAATTCTAATCAATAGCTTAGAAGGTTAAACTCTGATTATTTTTCATATTTGATTTTTGATCTCTAGAGACATCTTCTTTGGCCATTGTATGTGTTTCTTGAAAAAAATGGAGTTTGTAAATCATCATCAAAACACGAGACCTAACACCCATTAGAATATTAATATAATTAATAAAAAATATCAAAGTAGGGAGAAATTGAGAAAATATTTTGGGTAATTTATAAATATAATATATTTTTTAATTGTGGGGAACATTTTTATAATAAGTAAGTTTTTAGTTTTATAAATTTATACATCCTATATGTATTTTATGGTGTCTTATGTTCTATTAATTTTTTAAAGAGACACACCGATGAACCAAAAACCCCTCTTTATGAAAAACAACAAAGACATGATATCAAATCAATAAATAATAAAAAGTAATAAATTCATCAATAATATTTTAAGAGGAAGACTAATTCAGCAACTTTAAATTTAATTTAACACATGCATAATTTACGTATATAATGTTAGTGTTAGATTTAGAAGAACACTTCAACTACGGCAGATACCATAGAAAACCCCTCTCAACTATATTATTTTGAAAAAAATCACCTAATAGTCTAGGCATATTACAGATAACCCCACTCAACCTTGAAAATAAGTCTGACTTTATTTCAAAATGTAAAACAATGAAAAAATCCTTTTGAAAATCAACTCATTCAATTATAAAGAAATCCACAATCAGTAAAAAAGAATAATGTTCAAATTATAATACTTTTTGCCCTCTTCCTACTCTTTTTCCTTTATCCTAAAAGATCAGAGTATTTTTTTATGATTGAGGGATATTTTAGTTTTCCTCAGTTACTTACCTGTTATGTGACATATTAGGGCTCTGTTTGGCAAAACTAGCTGAAAGCTACGTGATTATAGCTGAAAGCTGTAAAGCTAGCTGAAAGTTGTTAGCTGTGTAGCTAGCTGATTGACTAGAGCTGTTTGGCAAAAGTAGCTGTACAACTAGCTTAAATTTGTTAAATGATTAAAAAAGACATACAATATTATTGATATAAAATTAGAATTATTAGGGGTAAAAACGAAAGAAAAAAATTGGCAGCTTCTTCTCAAAGACAAACGCTACTTGAGATAGCTTTCCAAAAGCTACTTGCAAAAGACACAATCTCCAAAATAATCTCCTCCTATTTTTGGTCACCAAACAGCTCTACTAGCTTATTGACCAAGTCAATAAGACACAAGCTCTTAGATAAGACACTTTTTTTGGTTGCCAAACAGTGCCTAGATCTAACAATGTTAGCTTTTAGGATGTAAAGTGAGAAAGTTCATAGGAATTTCTCAAAATTTTAAATTTAAGGGGGTTATCTACAGTATGCTACAATAAGCTCAAACTTGAGGGATTTCTCAAATTAAAATAGTTGAGCAGGATTTTCTGAGACACACCCCATATTTGAGGGGAGCTAAGTGATGAAAGTTCTAGGAGTTATCTCATATTTTCATAGTTGAGGGTTATGGTCAAACTTGAGGGAGTTTTCTCAAATTAAAATAGTTGAGGAGGTTTTATAAAATTAATCCTTGCTACAGTAATTCTGATTATTAAATGTTAAAGTAATATTTTTAAATTTTTTTTGTTACGGTTCCCACCTCTACTACGGTTTTTTTTAAAATGCTATAGTATTCCCGTATGCCACATTGATTTTTTTTTTAAAAACTTGCTACAGTACCCTTGCATGTTGCTAAAGTTAATATTACTGTAGCATGAATAGTGAATCTTAGGTTTTCCCATATATATATATATTATATATATATATATATATATATATATATATAGTATGAGATTTTTTAAAATTATGAATAGCTCATATTTAATAAGATTACCAAAATATGTTGATGTTTTTTAGAATTCTTGCGAGGTGCGGGGCAGGGGGTTATCCATATTATGTTTCAACTTGAGGGCTGGTGGGGGCCGGCGGGGGTGGGGAGTGCACTCAAACTAAAATAGTTGAGGAGGGTTTTTTAAAATTAATCTTTGATTTTGATTTTATGTAGAGTGACTCTTTACATTAGTTTTTTCCTTTAATTTTTATATTATATATAATTGTGAGATTTTTTATTATGGATAGTAATTTGACAAGGATTATAAAATATTTAATTATTGTATTTTTTAGGGGTCGGGGATAGGGGTGGAGGAGGGGAGATTATTTACAATATGCTCATACTTAAGGGGGATTTCACAAATTAAAATAGTTGAAGAGAGTTTTCTAAAATTAATTCATGATTTTATATAGAAAGCCTTTTTACATGAGTTTTTTTTCTTTAATTTCTATATTTAACTATACAACTATGTGATTTTTTTTAATTATGCATGGTTATAATATGATGATGATTATAAATTGATTATTAAAATTTTATAGTTATGAATAATTTTAATTTGATAAGAATTTTTAGGTAAATATAAGATTAGACGTCCAAATGTCATATTTTGATAGAATAAAAAGACATGTGGATACTTATAATATGACATATATTAAATTTTTATGTCTTTATAATATGATGACACATGTAATTTTATGTGCTTTTAGGAACTCTACCAATTTACCTTGGTATATACACGAGGGATATCTTGTGGGGAAAAAAAATATAAGGGTGTGTAAAAGTATCCAATCCCTGTCACGTGTTTAGGACAACTTCCTCATATTCACATAGGTCATGGAGTTTTGTGCAAAACCCACATAATTCACCCACATTCGTCTGCCTAAACCCAACTACCCTCTCTCTCTCTCTCTGTGTAAATAAAAGTCCACCTTCGCTCTCTCTCTCTCTCTAGGGTTTCTCTCTCTCATCGATCGAGGCTGAAACAATGGAGAATTCTTCCATCACCTCCTACGAGAAGCTGGATCGCGCCGCGAACTGGGTCGTCACGAGCGTCGCCTCCGCGTTCTTCGCCTCACTGGAGCGATTCTCCTGCATCAATCTCAGCACCAGCGACATCGACGACGAAGACGACGAGGCCAACGATCGCTCGATGATGTTCTCGAAGATCGATGCGATCGATGATGCCGAATCCGATCCCGACAACTGGTCTCTGGTTTGATTCGATCGACAAATTTGTTCGTTTTTAGTTGTTAGGTTTGTTATTTTTTGTTAATTGTTGCTATGATTACCGATTTCGGCTTAGAATTCTTGAAATATGATTTCTTTTTACTGCCACGTGCAATAAAAAAACCCCTTAACCCATAATAGTTGTTAAATTGGTAATTTCTAAACAGTTTTAGGTTTTAGGGTTAACTTGTGGTGCATGTCAGAGGATTAAATTTAAATTCACAACTATCCTTGTTTTATTTTATGTCTTTTATCACCTCCTCGTAGAATGGGAGTTTATCTTGATCAGGGGTCTTTGTTGAAAAATTGGATGTAGATGAAAGGGGTTTCTTGTAATTTACCCAGAGAAATAATAACATCGGCTTGTGCTTCGGAGTAGTCTGTATCTTGGATTATAGATTAGGGACAGGATATGCATGTGTTTGTTACTAACTGCTATGTTGATAAAATCAGAAGCAACTCCATTGGAATGAAAGGTTACGGGGTGGTTCCTATGATTGGACAAAGAAAGCGATAGAATCTTGAAACATAATTTAGCTTGGAGTAGTTTAGTTTGCTCTGCATTTTTCATGCTTTATGCTTTTGGTCTTATTCACACCTTACTAAGAGTGAACAGAGTTTTTAAGGTCATTTGAGGGACTTTATAGTTGCACGATCTGTATAGATTATTTTCTATTGTACAGTCAGATGTTTGAATGCACGAGGTTGATGCTGCTGCTTGATTTAGAAGATCAAGACTCTTATTTATTTGATTGGGAGTTTGAACATAACCGAAGATCTGTAACAGCAGTTGGAGTTGTACAAAGCTCTCGATGTAGCCTTGGTTTATTATGGATTGGTGGACCTACATAATCAAATTAGCAAACCTTCAGTTAGGCTTGGTTTCCTTAGTCTGATATGCTATTTTATAAGTTCTACAATCTTGTTCTTGGAAGGGCAGGATCAAGTTAGTAAGTTGATACATGCTATTCTATGTTTTAGCTAATAAAAGATAACTGGCAGTTGTCAGTCAAGCTATATTATCTTGCTGTATTTGTCATTATAGCTTCTTTCGTTGTGATATCGGGGATGTATCGTACATGTGGTCTACAAACTCAAAATAGGCATTCCTCCATGTTCTCTTAAGTGCTAACAGACCAAAAATTAGCGAAAGGCCAAAGAAAAATCCACACCCTACACTATTCCAGTACATCACTGTTTCATATCTCTCTTCATCATATTTGTCATCTTGAACTTGAGAATCTTCTTCATCTTCACACTTGGTGCTTAGTGGGATTCCGCAGAGTGCAGCATTCCCGATATAAATGGATGCTTCGGTAAAGGTTTGTAACTGATTGCCCGTTGTTATTTCTCCTGTCAAGTTGTTGAATGACAAGTTCAAGTGGCTCAAAAAGTTCAAGTTTGACAGGCTAGGAGGAATTGGTCCTGAAATCTTGTTTTTTGATAAATCAAGAGATTCCAACTGCCCCAGTCTTCCTATATTTGCGCTTATCTCACCACTTAGATGATTCACAGATAGATTTAGGCTTTTAAGTCCATAAAGACTAGCCAATTGACCAGGAATATTTCCAGACAAGTAATTATCGGAGAGATCGATCATACTTACAAGAGAGAGGAGCATATCATACATGATTTCTCTTCCTTTGAAGACTACCAACACATTCTCCTGATAGTTAGTTATGTGATCAACTAGAATACTTTCAATTCTCTTTTTGACCAACTTCATGGCACTGAAGTTCCCGAAACTAGGTGGTACGTTTCATGATAGATTATTGTCGGAGAGATCCAAAATCTGAAGATCTTTTAGATTTGACAGCTGTGGAGTAATGTCTCCATTTAACAAATTTGACCGCAGTCGAAGGATCTTCAAATTGTTCGACTTTTCTCCTACCCATCTTGGTATATTTCCAGCAAACTTGTTTTCACCAAGATCAAGGGTAACTATTCTCTGACATTTTCTCAAAGAAAGCGGGAGTTCACCAGAAAACTTGTTGTCGACAAGGTGTAATGACCTGAGATTGACCGATGTACAAAGGGAGTCTGGAATACCTCCAGTTAGGTGGTTGTTCTTAACATCTAAAATTAGAAGTTCAGAATCCCTGCTCCAAACATTAGGCAGTTGTCCTGATAGACGATTTTTAGAAAGGTCAAGAATTTTCAATTTTGCAATCTTACAAAGAGAAGGAGGAATGCTGCCACTTATATTGTTCATCGAAAGCGAGAGATATTCCAAGTTAGGCATCGCCTCACCAATTTTAGGAGGAATGTAGCCCGAGAATGAATTGTTTGATAGATCTAAGTGGATTGTGTTTGAAGGAAAATACGGTATAGAACCCTCAAGACAGTTGGAACTCAAATCAATATATGTGTATTCTATTTCTTCAAAATTTATCCAAGAAGGTATCTTGCCTCTGAGTTTGTTATCGGAGAGATCTATGAAGTAAAGGTGAGAAGAGAAATTCCAAATCCATTCAGGCACAGTAGCTGATAACCAAAGATAAGATAAATTCTTCTGTGTACGAAGCCATGAAGGAAACTGGGGACCCAATGTTGAAGAGCTCATGAGGAGTGCATTAAGTTGAAAAGGAGGAATACAGCTTGGGCTTACTTCTAGAGCTAAGGAGTTGTAGGAAATATCTAAGTCTTTCAATCTACCAAGGCCAGAAAAATGTGCTTCGGTGAGAAAACCCTCCAGAAAATTACCACTGAAGTATAAATATTTCAGCTTCGAAAGCTTTCCAATACTTTCTGGTATATAACTCCTTCCAATTGATTGCCTCCTAGTTCAAGTTGTTTGAGATTTTTGAACTCCCAAAGCCAATCTGGTAAATTTCCAGCAAGCCCACTTTCTTCTATCCGTAAAATTTCCAAACTTTTCTCATTGCACTGGGAAAAAATATCTCCAATATCAACGAACTCTTTGTAAATATCTATGGAGGACAAAAACAATGTCTTTAGGTTGCACATTTTTCCGAACCCTTTTGAGTTTCCAACGTCAAGATCCATATTCCCAGAAAGATCAAGGATTTCAAGATTAGTATTGTTGCCAATTTCTTCAGGAATAGTTCCATGAAAATTATTCCCGTCAAGCTGTAAGATGCTGAGGCTAGAAACATTAAAGAGCCATGCCGGTATCCTGGAAGTGATATTGTTAGAAGAAAGTTTAAGTACAGATAGCGATGTAAAGTTCAAATACTGTGGAGGAGGAGAAATTGTATCAAGGTGGCACGAAGACAAATCGATCTCACGTAAAGAAGGAAGCATATCTAGAGCAAGCAACAAATTATCTTCCTTTTTATACTCCACAAAGTTCAAAATCAAGTGGTGCAGAGATCTTAGCTGAGATAGCCACCTACAGTTATTAATGTATAGAAAGATCGAGAAACCATAAGCTTGACAGGTTTCCAAGCTGATGAGGCCCTTTTCCAGCAAAACGAGCATCAGAGAGATCCAAATACTCCAGTTTCTGCAAAGAACCGATGAACTCTGGAACTTCATTGGTGTGGAAGTCATTTCCGCTGAGATCCAAATTACTCAGTCATGTAAGTGCGATCAAATATTTGATTTTTTTTCGACTCCTGGAATTGTCATGTGTAGAGAGTTACTAGGGTTTTGACTTCTTAGGTCTAGAGCGACGACGTTTCCTGTGACATTGTCGCAACTAACTCCTGGCCATTTACAGCAGTTATCGTCCATCCAAGAAGAGAGTCTATTACTTGGATCAGCAAACCCTGCTTTGAAATCTAGAAGAGCTTGCTTTTCTGCTTCTTTACAGTGATTCGATGATGCTTCACTGCATAGGATGGTAAGGGATAGTAGAAAGAGGAGGTGGAGAAAACTAGATGGCATCTTTCTTTGAAGAACTAAATCTGCTTGTTTCTTTCAAGTGTAGGGGTATTGCTTTGAGTTTAGATTAGTGGTATTCTTTGATAATTACCCTTTTCTTCTGCACCAAAGCCGGCATCCATGCAGGAAAACTTGACATATGAAACAGGTACATTAAGTTTGGTACTTAAAACCAAGATGTAGGAACAAAGTTTATTTTTAGGGTTAAAGTGCGGATAGATTCCCCATAGTTCTGTTATTGCAGAGAGATCCCCTGAGTGATTATTTATTTATTTATAAAATATAACCTCAGAAGGTATATTTGTCTATTGGCAATTAACCCTATTTTTATGCTTCATAATAATAAAGTCTATATCCTAAATTTTTAGGGTCTGCTGTATGATCTGACTCTTTTCTATTAAGATATAGGGTGGATTTCAAGTTTTGGGATGTAAAAAGTGTTTTTTTTTTTAGTTTTGATATTCCATAAACTTTGTTTGTTTCAAAATTAATTTTGAGATATTGAATCCCTAAATTATAAAAAAAGAATATATTTTTAGGATTTGTGAAATCCTCTCTTTTGTTTCAACTTTTTTTTGGGATATAAGGTGGATTACAAGTTTTTTGGGTTTTAGAATTCCATAAACCATGTTTGTTTCAAAACCAATTTTGAGATATTGAATCCCCAAATTATAAAAAAATATTATATTTTAGAATTTGTGAAATCCTATCATTGAGAGAGGATTTAGGTTGGATATTGAACCCCCAAATTATAAAAAAATATTATATTATATTATATTATATTAGCATGTTATACCATACAATAATTAATATAATATAAGATTAATATATTATATATAATATTATAATAATATAATATTTAATATAATACATCTATTCCTCTATAATAATAGGACCCAAGAATCACTGTTCATGCTGTAGTAAATGCTACAGTAAATTACTGTAGCATTATATATATATTATATATAGTATATATATTATATCATATATAATTATATATATATAATATATATTATATATATATAATATATATATAATATATATATATAATGTATATAATATTATACTTATATATTATATATTATATATAGTATATATATATTATATTAATTAATGTATATATATTAATATATATATATATATATATAATTATATATAATATATATATATATATATATATATATAGTATATATATATATTATATTATATAATTTATATATATTATATAATATATAATATATATATTATATATGAGAAATATGGGTATGCTTGGTACCAAAGGCACAAATTTGGTGCTTGTAGTGATGTGGTCATATTTTCATCCACTCATTACCTATGTGAATGTGGTCTCGATATTTGAATGAGTGGAGGGAGATGCGACACATCACTACCAAGCATAATTTTTTGTGCTTGTACCAAGCATACCCATATTTCTCATTATATATATAATATAATATATGAGAATATGGGTATGCTTGGTACCAAGCATAAAAAAATTGTGGCTTGGTAGTGAGGTGTTACTTCCCCTCCACTCATTCAAATTTAGGGTCACATTTCACATGGTTAGGGAGTGGATAGATTGTACGCTGCATCAAGTAGCAATTTGTGGTGGACCAAGTCATATTTCTTTTCATTATTTTCATATATATTATATATTGTATATACTTAGTATAATAACATACCATATTTCCTCAATAGTATATATATATGAGAAATATGGGTATGTCATTATATATATATAGATACTAATTATATATATATTAAATATATATATATACATATTATATATTATATTACTATATATATATATTATATACTGATGTAATATTAGAGAATATGGATATTGCTGGTACAAGCGACAAAAAAGAAGGTTGGTGCTGTGGCTAGTGAGGTGTCACTCAGGGTCACCTCTCACTCTTCAGAATGGTGGAACATTCACGATGGTAATGGAGTGGATGGGGATGTGATACATTCATACAGCACAAAATTTGTGCTTGGTACAAGACATACCCATATTTCTCTATTTTTGCTTTGTTACGAAAACAACAAAGTTTGTGCGTTGGGTACTGAGGTGTCACATCACCATTACCTCATTCAAATGTGGGACCGACATTCACATGAGTAATGGGAGTTTGATTGAGGATGTGCACATCACTACCAAGCACAAAATTTGTGCTTGTAGCCAGCATTACTCATATTCCTCTCATCTCTCTCTTTCTCTCTCCTCTCTTTACTTATTATATATATATATATAATATATATATATATATAAAATATTATATATATATATTACTATATATTAGATAATATTATATCAAAAATTGTTCGTCAACCTTGGAATGGATAGCAAAAAGTTTTTACCGAAAAACTTTTTAGCACTTACTAGGGATCTTGCATGATATAAAGAATTATTTTTGATATTAATCAAATGAAGTGACTAGGAAGTTTTGGTGGATATTCCAACTTAAGTTGATAGGCGTTTTCTCTCTCTCTCTTGATCTCTCTCTGCTTCTTTAATATAGTATACTTTATATATATATTATATATTATATGTAATATATATTGAAATGGATATGCTTGGTCGTGGGTTGACATTATTCCTATTCACTTTCCAATTCCTAAACACTCCCAAACCCATGTGAATGTGCGGTCCCGATTTTTAATTGATGAAGTGGAATATGTCAACTTCACTATCGAGCACAAAAACTTGGTGCTTAGTACAATGAGTCTGAGAGAAAGGGAATATGAACAATTCGACTAACTAAGTGCAAAAACTTTGTGCTTGGTACCGAACCATACTGCATGATTAATAATATATAGATAATTCTATATATATATATATATATATATATATATTATATATTATATTATATAATTATTATTATATATATATATATTATATAATATATTATATATATTATATATATATATATATATATATATATATATATATATATATATCATACTCGCTTTAAAAGAGGGAGTTGTGGAAAAACTTTTCAAGAACTATATTACCCCTATTATTTTTGATATTACATTCTAATACTAACTAAACTAAATTAATATATCATTGTTAATTAATGATATTATATGTCATTTTAAATGTGTATAATTTGGTCCCTAAAACTTTCAATGTTATTATAAAATTCTACATCATATTAATTATTAATAATGTATATAATATATTAATAGATAATTACATGTTAGTAAAGTATTTATGGAAAGAATAGAAAACATAGAATTGTCCTAAAATTATACCATGACACTCATATAGGAAAATACAAAGAGCATTCTTATGTTTAGGTAATAGGACAAAATGTACAGACATAAAATTTTAGAAAACATTAGGACATTTAAGTGCAATAAGATACGCTATCTTACATTAAAAAGAAAGCGCAACAAGATACAAGTGGAGGTATATAACTATAATTTTGATAAATTATAATGTATTTAAGTTCAGTCAAGCCTTTAAACGATTTTAAAACTTTGTTATCCATAAACAATAGTACATGATCCCATTGATAAATAATATTCATCATACAATATGAATTGTCCTAAAATTATACCATGACACTCATATAGAAAAATACAAAGAGCATTCTTATGTTTAGGTAATAGGACAAAATGTACAAACATAGAATTGTCGTAAAATTATACCATGACACTCATATAGGAAAATACAAAGAGCATTCATATGTTTAAGTAATAGGACAAAAGGTACAAACATAAAATTTTAGAAAACATTAGGACATTTAAGCGCAACAAGATACACTATCTTAAATTAAAAAGAATGCGTAACAAGATACATGTGGAGGTATATAAGTATAATTTTGGTAAATTATAAAGTTCAGTTAAACCTTTAAAAGATTTAAAAACTTTGTTATCCACAAACAATAGTATATGATCCCATTGATAAATAATATTCATCATACAATATGATGCCACATGCATAGCTTATATTTATATAGTAAAGGAGATGCGGGTAAATTATAGCATCATATTTTGAATGAGTCTTAAGATTTTGAATTATTTCCTGAAATTATATAATTCACTTAGAAAATTTTAGAAGAGGCTTTCGAAGAACTACTACAAAGTGTTGGACATCGGATAAATATTGCGAAGAACTACTACAAAGTGTTGGACATCGGATAAATATTGAACAAATAAAATCTACAATATCGGATTGCAAAAATTAGGGATATGTATATAAGACATCGGATAAATATTGAACAAATAAAATCTACAATATCGGATTGCAAAAATTAGGGATATGTATATAATAATGGGTGTCATATGAGATAATATTCATACATAACATGACATTGTAATATATAATCTAACATATTAATGAATTTTAAACATGAACTTGCATCAAGATATATGCTTAAAATATGGGAGAGCCAAGAGTGGAGAGATTTGGGAGAAGAATTGTGGCCTTTTGTGGGTTTTGTGGGTTTTGATTTTGTTTCCCAAACACGATCCAAACCCGAGCCCACAATCAAACTAAAAATGACACGATACGATTTTCTCGATATCTTCAAAGAGATATATCGGTCATATTTTCAATAGCGGTCGATATATCAAAAAAATCACCAAACAAAAGAAAACAATATAAAATATTATCGAGATAAACTCTTTAACCCAATATATTAGTCCATATAGCAATATATCGGCTGATATTTACTACAATGTCTGTAAGAGCAAATATGTAAATGTTATTTAGATATTAGTTCCTTGATTTTAAATATCCAATAATTCTATGTTATTACCTTAAAATTTTAAAATTGCTCATAATTTTAGGGACTAATATTAAATTATTAAAATTGAGGGACAAATTATAAATAAGACATATTTAAAAGAAGAGTTAATATTTAAAAACTCTCTCAACTATGGGGATTGTCTTAAAACCTACTCAACCGATTCAATTTGACAAAAACCCCTTATTATGAGGGGTGTTATAGATAACCCCTCTCAATTTTGGTGCAATTTTAGAAAACACCTCT